TATGAATAGAATATGTTATTATTACTTACAGATCTCAATCATTTCATAGAAAATAAGATATATGCAGCTCACTATTGCCCGAAACATAAATATACTTATAAAGTTTGTGTAACTTTAATAATGCACATCAAACACTAGTGTATCCTGTAAACTGATAAACAAATACACACTAGCCGCCTACCTATAGAATTATTCTGGTGTACTGTAACCAGTTTCGTAGATTAATCTGACACCAATACAAGCATATGCACTATTTGTTTGTTATTAAATATAAAGCCGCACCGTATGGATAGAACTCCCTACTTTAGCGTTATAAACTCTCAAGCTTATCGCTCAGCCATAGGAAGAGGGGGAGCAGATCTTTTTATAATTCTATCGAATAATAACAGTTGGCTCAGTTAGTCCGAAAAATCAGAATATTTTTAATTAGGAAAAACAAACCAACCCAATACCCGATACTCAATCCTATTATTCAAAATATTTAAATATCTTTATTAAATGCCTACTTATTTTCCAAACTTATGGATATTTATACTTTATCTTCTCTCATTCCTTCATAAACATATAACTATACGACAGATATTGATAATTTGTAAAAAAAAATAATATAGGCTTGAAATATTTAATAATTATATAGAATATTAGTTTGTTTTTATCGGTTTGTTTGTTTCAGAAGTTTCATATGAAGCTACACAAAAGGCTATCTGCGCATAGCATTCCTAACTTTGAACTGATAGACTAGAGGAAATTATGACAGCTAGACAATATTCTACTCTGTGATCGAATAGTGGGATTTGACCGTCACTCTTATAACGCAGCCACGGTACCAAAGTGCAAATCACGATTTTGTGGCAACGAACATTGAATCACAGAGCATGTTAACCTCGTGGTTACGTCCCACCCTTTTCGTTATCGAACTGTAAAGAACTTTCATGATAATTTGAAAATCACAATACTGTTTTATAATTAACCGTTTCAAATGGATATGACATCGAATAATTTTCACACAGATTATTTTGTTTATAACACACCTGTTTCCAATTAAAAATGTTCTCCAAATGTCTTTCACGTGCCAAGTTTTATAGCTTTGGATACATACATGCGCGTGTTTTCTAGGTGTTTAGCTATATAATTTATAGTATTTTCATGCAACAGAACCATATTTCTCAAGCAGAAAGAAGATCACAATATATATGTTTCATTATTGCAAATCAAGGGAAAAGTAAGTTTCCATTTTATCTTATTTAACTTACGAAGAATGTGATTTTATCATTTAAATATCTTATGCTGCCCTTTATGTACGTTTTCAAACACTGTGAGGAATGCTATGGAAAGTTTAAGAAATAAAGTTTTTTTCGTCTATTACTTCCATTGGACTATCTTTCATAATATAATTGTTGTTTTTATTTATTCTGTATCGTTATAGGAGTAACAATCTTCCCTCAACTTGGAACAGTCAGTGAATGAATGGGGGTTTAGTTTTGTGCCTCTGTTGGCTCGAGCAACCAATGTTATCCCTAATTTAAATCATATTTCCTCTGTAAGATTTGCGAGTATAGAAGAGGAACGTTAGTTTGTATTCCCGCCGTTTCGTGGATCTGATTCCATACCTCGTTTCGTGGATTTGATTCCATACCTCGTTTCGTGGATCTGATTCCATACATCATTTCATGGATCTGATTCCATACATACCCCTTTCGTTTTTCTTTGTTGAATTTCACGCAAAGCATCTCGAGGGCTATCTACACTAGTTATCCTAAATTTTTGAGGTTCCCAAACTGTAGTCCGTTAGTCCCCTTTAGGTTGTCCGTAGAAAGGTTTTTTAATTACGGAAAAGGAAGAATTTATAGATGCCGGAGCAGCCACGACACTCGAGACCTTAAAAATTCAGCAATATAAGCAGGACAAATATATATATATATACACGTTCAGTTGAAAAGTCTAAGACACCTATGGCTTTTGAGTTAATGGACGAAAACGTATTCTTTACTTGGGAATTTTTGCGCATCGTAAAATCATGGTCTGTTTGCAGGTTTCTCTACGAAAGAAGAACACTTGTTTGAACTCTTTTGCGACGGAACGTTAAGGTTAAAGTTTAAAAGAAAATGTGTCATTACTATTGGAGTTTTGGATTCAGAGAACTGGAGCATACCCAGAACTTGCAGACAAAGCAGTTCGTTTTCTGAAGCCATTTGGTACTACGTACCTGTGAGATATGGAATTTTCCTTACTTGCAGCCCTGAATGTTAAATGTTGAACCTGACCCGAGGCTAAAGCCGATGAATATTACAGCCAACATAACAAATCTTTTCTCACAAAAACAAGTGCACCCATCCCGTGCAAAACTAAGCCTCTAGTTAATATCGTGATTTTTATGCGCTTATTTTGTTTTGTTCAAACATACAGTTATTATTATAAGATTTGCAGATCCCCCCCCCCCCCCAAATAAAATCAGGTGGTCAGCGAGCAAGAAAGTTTGAGTACCACTGGACTCGAAGGAAGAAAGGCAGCTAATCAAAATCTACCTCCAACATTTGAGATTTTCTAATGGAATAGAAGGATTTGACCGTCGCGCTTATAACGCACATACTGCCCCAAAGTGCGGAACGCAAACCCGGAACCTTCCATAAACAGTTCGGCATGCTAACCTCTGGGACACGCTGAACTCCATATCTCTGTCATCATTACATTTTCATATTGGCTATTCTGTAGTTTGTTTGTTATTCTTTTATTTATTATATCTTTGACCTGACTATAGTAATTTCTTTGCATAACTACAAGAAATACATCAATGCTTGGTTTAATATGAATTTTGCGCAAAGCTACACGAGGGCTATCTACGCTAGCCGTCCCTAATTTAGCAGTGTAAGGCTAAAGGGAAGGCAGCTAGCCATCACCACCCACCGCCAACTCTTGGGCTACTCTTTTATCAACGAATAGTGAGATTGACCGTGACATTATAATGCATCCACGGCTGAAAGGGCAAGCAATTTTGGTGTGACGGGGATTCGAAACCGCGACCCGCAGAATACGATTCGAGCGCCCTAACCACCTGGTCATGCCGGGTCACATCAATGTAAAATATGTATTTAAATATGTTTACTGAGTATCAAAATGGTTCGTTAGCCTTTGTAATGAAATGTGAAGGTGTACAGTTTTCTATAGAGTATGAATCTTTCAAATCAGCTGTTCATGATAATTTTAATTTACCTTTATTTGATAATTTGCAAAACACGAGGAATTTTATTAAAAATATGAATTTAAACAAACTGAAGTTATTACGCAGGTACTGAGAATGAATTTCGAAAAAAATGTGTAAACAAACAAACAAACAAAAAACGGGGAAAAAAAAGTGAAGCTTTTTCGAGTTTCTAAAGATGAGTCATATGAGTCAAGTGGTCATATTTTATTTTTTCCCCGGCACACATTAGGAAATATCCGTTGTACCAAACAAACTAATAAATATTAGTGTTGAAATGTATGACAGGTGTTTTATTTCGTATTTTATAATAACGAATTCATTCCACGTGTGATGTTTTAGAGTGATAAACCCCCAGACTTACAGCTGACTTACAAGTCATTTTGATTTTGTTATGAATTTAGCGCAAAGCTACACGAGGGTCTATACTAGAGAGAATGCAGCTACTCAACATCGCCCACCGCCAACACTTGGACTACTCTTTTGCCAACAAATATTGGGATTGACCGTTACATTATAACTATCACTCCTATAGCACATTCACAGCATCAACGTATTGACCGTGATTTTTTTTCCAGTTACATTAGTAGGAGGGAGTAGTGGCATCTGGTTGTCACTCTTGTAGCGCATCCAAAGTGCATTTTTGTGACAACGAGATGCGAACCTGGAACCTCGGGTCTATAGACTGACACGTTAACCACTAGGTTACGCCCGGCTCGTACTTAATTAACTTTACAAAGATTAAAGTTTTTCTGTAGAGTTCTTAACTTTTTCAGTCGCTTCATGATAACCTATGACTAATATTTCTTACAATTTCGTGGTTGCGGGAAGTCGAACAGCCTAACAACGCTAAAATCTGGGGATCGATTCCCCGTGGTAGACAGAGTGCAGATAGCCCATTGTGCAGCTTTTCACTATAACCAACCAAACAAACATAATTACGTTAAGATATCCAAATCGTGTTTCTTTTAATTACTGAGATATAACATCCCAGAAATATTTTGTTACATTATAAAACAAATTAAACATTTCATAGATGTTATGACAGTCCCCCGATGGGACAGCGATAAGTTTACGGATTTACAATGCTAAAATCCGGGGTTCGATATTAGATAACTCAATGTGGCTTTATTCTAAACAACAAACAATATTTTATGGCAGCACGACGCGTCGTTCAAAAGCTCAAATCTTGTAAAATTCATAATATTTTACATTGAACAAAGATACAACTGCAAAGACGAAATAGTGTTTTTGTTTTATAATTTCTGCTCAAAGGGCTACCTATACCTAGTCATTACTAATTTTGAAATGATAGACTAGAGAGAAGACAGCTATAATCAACAGCACCAGTTCTTAGGTTGCTATGGTCTGAAGGAATAGTGGGTTTTGTCTGTTGCTAAAAATCAGGAGTTCGATTCCCCTCGGTGGACACAGCAGATAGAGCGATCTGGCTTTGCTATAAGAAAACGCACACTGTTACTTGTGACCCCCCCCCCCCCACGTGGCACAGCGGTATGTCTGTGGACTTAAAACGCCGGAAACAGGGTTTCGATACCCGAAGTGGGCAGAGCACAGATAGCCAGCCCGTTGTGTAGCTTTGTGCTTAACTACAAGCAGACAAACAAACTGTTACTCGTGTAGTGCACCCAAACTGTGAAGTGTGTTTTTGTGGCAACGAGACACACGAACCATGAATATTCGGATTTACAGTCTGGGGACGCTAATCACTAGGCCACGCCCGTTTTGTCCTTTTTTTTTTGGTAGATCATACCCGGGTAGTCTGTTAGTAAGTAACACTCACCTTTTGACGCTTTTCTCGTTGTTAAATGTTCTGATCTCACCACGAAGGTAAACATCAGCTGTATATAAAGGGCATGTAAAACATAACTTAGAGCATTGTTTACTTTATACCTTTTTCTCCACATTACTCTTCAACCGTGTTGACATTACAAGTTTATTGATTATCGTTCCACAGTATATGAAGTTTCGTCAGTGATGAAAACGATTATTATCACGTGACATTACCGCCCAATGAAAAGCCTACGATAATAAAGGGGTAAAGAAGCTAGTTTTTCAAGTACATAACACATTGATTCATCCGTAGACATTTTAACGGGAATGTCCCCTATAAAGTGGTAATTAAACTGGTTATTGTCATATTTTTGTATTTTAGTGTGAAGATAAACAATGGGTTATCTGATCCCTGCGAGAAATGGAACCAAAGATTTTAGCCTTTAAACCTACCGTTCACCCAATGTGAGATATTTTATATTACTTTCGCTTGTTTTGTTTTGTTTATATTTATTTCCGTCATATTTTGGCCTCCATTTCACGAAAATCACTATTATAATTGCGTAATTCTAACAAATTTGATCCTGACCTGGTCTTAATGGTTTGTGGGCCGAGACTGTGAATCCCCAGGTTCATGGCTCGCGTCACGCAAAAAATAACAACAAACGTACTCCGCACTTTGGAGCCACGGGTATGTTCGAAAAGGGTGACGGTCAAGTCCCACTATTCAGTCAAGAAAGAGGAACCCAAAAGTTGGCGGGAAGTGTTAACAAGTTGCCTTCCCTCTACTCTGTCAGTCCAGATATTAACAAGGAATCACAAACAAAATAATCGTTACAAATATTTTTGTTTTACTTTAGTAGGTACTAGTAAGATATTACAATTGTTAACATAAAAGAATGATTTTTAGGTACTAGTAAGATATTATAATTGTTAACATAAGAGAGTGATTTGTAGGTACTGGTAAGATATTGTAATTGTTAACATAAGAGAGTGATTTGTAGGTACTAGTAAGATATTATAACTGTTAACATAAGAGAGTGATTTGTAGATACGAGTAAAATATTATAATTGTTAACATGAGAGAGTGATTTGTAGCGATCTAAGTAAATAATCCGTAGAATGAAGTATTAGCTAAAACATCATTGGAAAGTTATAACATTTATTGAGGAAGTTTGTAAATAACTATTAATTGTCATCATTGACCCTTGAGGAAATATTTCTTTATTTCGTAGATAAAATAAAATAATTAATAGTTACTGCGGTACTTCCCCCAGATGGGAAGTATAGCATGTTATGGGTAGGTCAACAGTAAGTCTCAAGGTTAATGACGCTAAAAACCGAGTTTCGATACTCGTGGTGGGCAAGCACAAAGAGCCCATTGAGTAGCTTTGTACTTAACAACAAACAAGCATATCTTTAGTTTATTAAAGTCATCTCATTCACCAAGTTTACTGGAGGTTGGGAATATTTACAAGGCTATTTAATCTTTTAATCATGAGCTTAGTAAATCTATTGGGCTCGGCATGGCCAGGTGGATGAGGCGCTCGACTCGCAATCTGAGGGTCGCGGGCTCGAATCTCTGTCCTACCAAACATGCTCGCCCTTTCAGCCGTGGGGGCGTTATAATGTGACAGTCAGTCACACTATTCGTTGGTAAAAGAGTAGCCCAAGAGTTGGCGGTGGGTGGTGATGACTATCTGCCTTCCCTCTAGCCTTACACTGCTAAATTAGGGACGGCTAGCGCAGATAGCCCTCGTGTAGCTTTGCGCGAAATTCAAAAACAAACAAACAGTAAATCTATTAAGCCCCGTTTTTGTTTCTATTTGTTGTTTGTTTTAGCTATCTAATAGGTTATAGTTTTGCAGAAAGTTTGTTCTATTTCTTCGGTTAAAACAAATATTGCGAGCTGTTAAAGAGTCAGTTTGAGATACGTGAACAATTTATAAACATTGATCGAATAGTGGGATTTAACAGCCACTCTTATAGCGCACCCACGTCACCAAAGCGCGTAACAGGTTTTGTGGCAAAGGGACGCAAACCATTTATCCTCGAATTGACAGTCCGTGAACACTAACCACTAGGTCATGCCTACTCTCTTGCTATTCGTGCTTGCAGTACAGCGAGTTTATTCACATATATGATATAGTTTATAGCAATACGTTTTTTACTCTTAGCCTAACAAAGTCTTACATCACTGTGTATGTTTCCTCTTTATTTTTAACATCTAAATCAGTGCTATAATGTTGCAGAAAAGTATTATTAAAATTGCTTGAATGAGATGAATAAAGTTTAGTAACCGTTTTTGGAATAAAAAGCAAGTCTTATTCAATAAACGATCCCTTTCTAAAATACTAAATGAATGAAAGATGCTTACATCATCTGTTGATAAACAACGCAACTCGAACATAAATTTGCTGACGAGAAACCCATTTTGAGACTATTAAAGTTTAACGACTTCCTGAATGGGTAACGAAGAAAAGTCATTATAGATTGAATACAATCACAAATGTAGAACGTTTCGAGAAGATTTTGTCATCATCAGGTTCCTAATGATGACAAAACTTCCTCGATACCTTGAACATTTTGTTACAGTGTTCAATTTCTAATAAAGTTTTTTTTTTTGGTTACTCATTCAGGAAGCCAATAAACTTTATCACTTGAACAAGATTGATTGATATATATGAATTTTTGTGTGTGTGCAAGAACTGTAGAATGTTATATATTTATATCGACTGTTTAAATAAACTTCAAATATCTTTTTATATATTTAAGTGTTTTGTTTTACATTACATAAAAATAGTTGCCACGATGTCTTGGGCCATATTACTCCTTTTTATTTTTTTGTAACAAGATTACGACTTCAATATTTTTTATTAGACATAATAATAATATCTTTAAAAATAAAAACATATTTCATATATTTTATTAAATTGATATAAACGCTGAAAACGAGCTGTTTTAACATTTATGTATAACTTATTTGTGTTGAGTGCAAAGCTACACAATGAGTTGTGTAGGCTATGCTTACCACGGGTATTTGAACCCCAATTTTTAATGTTAAAAGCCCTCAAGCTTACGTCACAGGGGATATGTAGAATTTAATAGAATGAAAATTCATTCTAGTTTAAACTTAATTCTTCAATAGAAAACAACAACTTTTAAAGTATATGTTGAACGTGCATGGGTAGGATTTGGGAAATAATTATGTGTAAGTCAATAAAGTTTGACTTAATTGTAATTATTGTGAATGTCGTGTGTATACTATATCCCACAGAAGAAAAAAAATGGATATCCAAGTTTTACCTAACGCCGTTGTTTATCATACGATATCCAAGTGTTATCTAACGTTGGTGTGTGTTTTAGAGCAAAGCCACATTGAACTATCTACTGTGTCCACCGCGGGGAATCGAGCCACGGATTTTAACATCCGTAAACTTACCGCTTTCACACTAGGAAACTGTTCTTTGTTATACGATATTCGAGTTTTACCTGACATTATTGTTTCTCAGACAGTATCTAAGTTTTACAGAAATTTGTTTTTTATCATACGAAACAAGATCCTAGTATAAAACATGAAAATATTTTGATTTCCTTAGGGAATGTAACATGAATCACGAAGATGTGGCATATATGTTTAAACCATCCTTTAACCACATGGCATATCCCGATTTCGTGGTGGTTAACACAATAAGTAAAATGTTCCATCATAATATATTTGATTTTTACAAAATTATTAATCATGTTCTTGCAACTCCTCACAGAGTCGTTTAATTGTTGTTTAGATCAATTACTATAAAACTAAAATTTGACCTAAAACAGCAAAGACATCCTTTCAGTAAAAAAGGTAATAACCCTCGAGGTGAACAGCAAAAACATCCTTTCAGTAAAAAAGGTAATAACCCTGTAGATGAACAGAAAAGACATCCTTTCAGTAAAAAAGGTAATAACCCTGTAGGTGAACAGCAAAGACATCCTTTCAGTAAAAAAGGTAATAACCCTGTAGATGAACAGCAAAGACATCCTTTCAGTAAAAAAGACAATAACCCTGTAGGTGAACAGCAAAGACATATATACAGTAAGAAAGGTAATAACACTGTAGGTGAACAGCAAAGACATCCCTTCAGTAAGAAAGGTAATAACACTGTAGGTGAAATAATTTTCATCAATACGTTATCTCAAATCAAAGACAAAAACTACCATCGCGTGACGTAGCATCACATAATCCAACTACATTATCCGTCGAACCAAAACTATGTCAGTTCCACAAGATAAGAGAAATGGATATTAGCTATAGACTTCTCCGGTTGAAAAACTGTACAGGTTCTTGAGCTCATAACATTGTTCCGGTTTTCTTCTTTCGGACGTTGGATAAACACGAATGACGAGCAAATAATGTAAACAGTAAGTGGGCGTGAATTCTCGCTCAGCCTCTTTGCAGTTTGTTAACATGTTGGAAAAGGCCATTTCGCTGTGGCTGTGTGTATTTAAGCTCTATATATCCAGCCAACCGTTAATTTAACCAGTCAAATGTAACTTATTCGTGATGGAGGTTTATAAATACTGGTGTCAAAGTTTCACAAAAGTACAGAGAGACTCAGAACCATTTATACTTTTCCTACGAAGAAAATGACCAGTGAGTTAAAAAAAGTTTCCCTGGTGTTGGTCACAGGAGCTTCTGGTTATGTTGCTTCCCACATAGTCCGTTTGTTGCTACAAAAAGGCTACAAAGTTAGAGGAACGGTGAGAAGTCTTACGGACGAACAAAAGGTTAAGCCACTAAATGACCTTTATCAAAATTCGCGGTTTCCATTGCAATTAGTCGAAGTTAATCTTCTCAATAAAGATGGATGGGACGATGCCCTAAAGAGCTGCGAGTTCGTTATACACGTTGCATCTCCATTCCCAAGTAAGCCCCCATCTCAAGAAGAAGAAGTTTTGAAGCCCGCTGTTGACGGAACCCTATTGGTCCTCAAGGCTTGTGCTCGAGCCGGTAGTGTTCGACGAGTGGTTCTGACCAGCTCTGTTGCTGCTGTTCATGGTGAAACCACGGTGAAGGAGGAACAAGTATATGGACCTCAAAATTGGACTGATGAAGATTCTCCATTCACAGATGCTTATGCTAAGAGCAAAACGTTAGCGGAGAAGACAGCTTGGGATTTTGTAAGGGGTCTTCCTGAAGAGCAAAGGTTCGAACTAGTGTCCATCAACCCGGGTATCGTTCTAGGACCTATGTTGACAAATGTTGTCGGTACTAGCGTCTTTCCAATAAGGAAGATGATGAGCATGACAATGCCATTAGTTCCAGCTGTTAACTTTTATCTGTGTGATGTCCGAGACGTGGCCCTCGCTCATTGGAAAGCTATCACTGTACCAGAAGCCGCGGGTAAAAGGTTTATCATTGGAAGTGCATCCATTTGGTTCAAGGAGATGTCCCTCATTCTCTTCGAAGAGTTTGTAAAACAGGGCTACTGGGTGTTTCGTCGCCACTGTCCCTATTGGCTGGTCTGGTTGACGAGCTTCATAGATTCGTCTGCTCTTTTGATATTACCTCGGATTGAGAATGTGTATAAATACGACAACAGTCTGATGATCAATCTCCTGAAAATAACTCCGAGGAACTTTAAACAGACCATTATTGACACAGCTTACAGTTTAATCGAAAGAGGACTTCTTCCCAAAAGAAAATGGTATACTGGTCCAAAAGAACGAGATAGCTGGTGAGAAAATGGAGATAAACAGGTATTTAAGAACATCTGGAAGATTTGTTTGAAAAGTTCGAGTCTTTCTTACCACAAATAAGAAACCTGAAGAAAATTGTTACAATTCAAACATTATTCTATTATTACCATTAATGTTTGATAGATAAGATTAAGGATGACTGAAAAATTGCATTAATTCAGTTTTGACTAATACGCTCTCAATGTTTTAAATGTAATTTACGTAATGTATAATGCATGTAGTGATTACTTATTTTATAATTTCATAAATTAATTAATGGAATAAATTCATTATTAAGAGTCACATCAATAATTATGCCATTTGCTTGTACACACAAAGACTATTTATTGTAATTTAATCAAAAGAAAGTGTAGTTTATTATTCATCTTATACCAATTATGTTGTGTTATTATATAAAGTAATGTCTCA